TTTTTTTTCGTAATTTTCTAAGCAAATATAATTTTGTGTTAGTTAAAAAGAATAGTTAAACTTTGCAATTTATTTTGTCATTTTATGTAAAATTTTATTTAATTAGTTAGTTTTTTTTCCAATAACCTTAATATAACCTCAAAATTATATAAAATTAATAGTCTAGAATTATTTTTGCAAAGTATATTGATATTTGTTCATAAGCAATCTAAAATATTCTGAGAAGCACCAAAATGAAAATGATATTGTTACATTTTAGATACTGAAAACCTGAGGTATTTCAATAATTCAATATTTTAATCTATATGTCTATACACAAAATATTTCTGTGAAAATATTTCTATAAATATTCCTATAAATAAATTGTAACAAAAATGAACCGTGTCACACTTTAATCAAAAATAATTATTCAAATTTTTTCTCAGTTATTCATAGCACTTTATATCACAAACAATTGGATGGTTAATTAGTGCGAATGAATAATTAGCAATTAGATCAACTGTTTACTGTTTAAAATGCATGTACTTGCGTACTTGCATTTTAAAGTGGAAGAAATTATTTTTCTGTATTCCTATAAATTTCTTGTGCAATGTGGCAGAGAGTTGCAAATTCTTCACTTTCATCTCAAACTTGGTAATTAAACCATTAGACAAAAGAAATAACATTAACGCCGCATAATTATTAAGGGAGTTACAAAACAAAAATTAACACGTAATTCTAAGCATCGAGAAACATTTTGTCAATAAAACGAATTTTAAAGACAAAAATCTGAAGTCACAATGGATCAAAGATGGAAGCAATTTATTGTAATATTTTAATTGACCATGTAGTTTTGAACTTTAATTTCGTTATAATTTGTCGTTTTGTTGCTTCCTGGGTCAACTCTGCTAGTCTAATGCTATGCTTCGACCATGTTATCGCAAATTTTCCCCAGAGCTAGAAAATATCATACTAACAGTTGTGCTTATTTGCATACAGCATGTCACTTATTTGTCATGTATGGGCGAATAACGAAAAAGTAATTTAACAGGTCTGCAAGTAAACACAAAACTGATAATTTTATTCACTAAAATGAAAGAAATAGCAAAGAGATGGAAAAAGAACGATACCATTATGCATATGAGATAAAAAATTAACAACTTATAAGCAAGCGATAAATAATAACAGTAATAAAATGTTACCATTAAAATAAGGACTAAGTACGGAAATACAACTTATAATCAACAAAACAACGCGTATTTCAGTTTAAAATGTGCCTTTCAGCTTTTTTCATGATTCTTCTTAGGTAATTTAAAATAACGTGTAGTCAGGAAACCCATACCGCAGACAGTGAGGTTGAAGATCAGCCTATTTTTGTCGTATGTTACCATATGGTCTTTCAGACATTGTTTTAGTCTGAAACTTTCATTGCATTCCCGACAACTGTGCAGCTTCTCATCGATATAAGTTTTCATATGATTTTTCAAAGATGATAAACGAGAGAAGCTTTCGTTGCATTTCCGACAACTGTACGGCTTCTCACCGATGTGCGTTCTCTCATGATTTTTTAAAGCGTTAATTGAGAGAAGCTCTTCATCCACATGAGTTTTCTAACTACAGAAATATAAATTATAATCAGCAAAACAACGTGTATTTCAGTTTGGAATGTTATTTTTTTCCGTATTTCGTATTCTAAACGATAAATAATAACAGCAGTAGAATGTTATCATTAAAATGAGGACTAAGTACAGAAATATAACCTATAATCAACAAAACAAAGCGCATTTCAGTAAAAAATGTGTCCATTAGCTTCTTTTATGCTTCTTGTGTAATTTCAAAGGCCATTTATTCAGGAAACCTTTACCGCAGACAGCACAGCTGAAGAGCGGTCTATTCCTGTCGTGAGTTACCATATGGTCTTTCAGATAACGTTTTAATCTGAAACTTTATTTGCATTCTCGACAACTGTGCAACTTTACAGCGGTATGAATTCCTATATGATTTCTCAAAGTTGATGAATGAGAGAAACATTCATTGCATGTGAGACAACCATATGGCTTCTTACCGGTATTCTTACCGGTATGAGCATTGAAGGATCATAGTAATTCCTATGATCCTCCAATGTTGACGGACGAGAGAAGCTTATGCTGCATTTCCGAACTGTACGGCCTCCCAGCGATGTGGGTCCCCATATGAACTTTGATATTTGCTGGACTTGAACTCGAATTTGAACTTTGATCTTGAACTTCTATAATGTCCTCTGGATATCCACTACTCTACAGTTTCTTCCTTTTCGATTTGCTTCCTGCGAATTTTTCCGTACTTTTTCGTTTAATGCTCTCTTCTTTGACTGTTAAGTTCATTGTGACTGTTACCTCTCGACTGTCAAATTTATCCGCATTTTTGGCGGCTAATTTGGCTTCTGGCATTTTAGCGGCCACTTCGGCTAATAAAAACAATTTTTCCATTTCTTCTCCATTCAATCTCTGCACTGATAGATCCAACAGCTTTGTTTGTTCCGTTTGCCCCTCCTCAAATTGTATGAAATTACCGATCCCACACTGCGTTAAAAATTTGAAATCCTCGACTGTAATGCTGCGTTGTATTTTTTATCTTAAATGAACTTACTATAGTTTGAATGTTGCCCAGTTGGAAGAAGAAGGCGAAATAAATGGAATGCATATTGAAGAAAATAATTTCCTAGCCTATTCTGATAAATATTCAAAGTTTACCAATACTAAGAATGGTTACTTATAAGAAATATGACCGCCTGCTGTTTGACATTCACGCAATGGAAAAATTTCTTCCGGTAAATGTTTTTTGAAATATATTAACATTGAAAAAAATTGTTTCGATTTACTCCTATAATCATAATTGCATTTCTCACTCAAGCGATGAGCATGAGAAGTTATACATGGTGCAGATCGGTTGCAAAGGTTCCAAAGCGAAGTTTCCGTAATATTCAATGTTACAAATTTAATAAAAAGATAAGCCTGTTTTAAAAAAGTGCTTATTTACAGGCTCATCGTCAAATCCCTCAATCTCTTATAACGCGATGCTTTGAGAAACAGTTGACATTCTCTGTCAAAATAAATGAAATAGAACTAACCGGATAAAATTCGTGGAAGAGAGTTTGATATAAATGACAAGTCACTTCTTCTGTTAGGTATTGTTCCAATATCGTCTGTATAAATATTCGTCCAAATGGGAGTGGCAAATTGTTTGTATTGATAAATTTTGCCCACGTGTAATAATATAATTGTAGCAGTGCTGTTTAATGCTTCATAGTGAATAATTTCATTTTAGCTATCATATTGCATTGTGAAAATTAATTTATGTAAAGCAGTCACAACAATTTTCGCACGATTTTGTTTCATTTCGCTATAATTCTTCCAAACTATCAAAACTGAGGCAATATTAGAGAGAGGAAAAAACTGCACTGCTACCTTTTTCATAATTCATACTATTGATTTATATAAGCTGAATGTTTTCATCAAATCAATCATCCGGACTTCATATCCATTCTTATACATAGTTTTCAAATTTGTTATATCTCTATGTATGTATGTGTGTGTGTGTGACCATTATTGTTATTGATAATTTTTGTTATAATTAATAATAATGATTATCATTATTACGCTTAATTTAATATCTTTGTGAAAATGTGCTAGGATTATTTGTTGTAGCATATTTTAAGCATATTGGTTTTGGCGGATGCAATATAGAACATATGCAGAAAGTTTAAGTCCTAACGATTTATCTCTGCTTTAATTAAAAATCTTCTGATTTATCTTTTTATTGATTTAAAATTTCCAGATTCATTCATATTCATTTGAGATCATTAGATTTAAGTTTATTTCAATTTAAAACTTTCAGACTTCTAACTTGGTACCATAAGATCTATTCTTGTACCAATTTTTAACGCCCGGATAGATTTCTGTTATGTTTTGTTACCTTCCTTCAAATCTGTCCTTATCTCTTTAACTTTTGCATACATACGGTAAAGTAAGGTAATCATTTTATTTTACTATAAAATCAATTTGTCAATGTTTGAATATTCCAATTTGAATATTCTATAAAGCAGAAGCTTTA